AAAAAAAAAAAAAAAAAAAAAAAAAAACTAGTCACTTTCAAAAGAAAAAGTTTTTTCATAGGCACTATTTTTTAAAGGTCATTAAAGAAAGCACTTGAAGACCAGGCATGGTGGCTCACGCCTATAATCCCAGCACTTTGGGAGGCTAAGGCGGGTGGATCACCTGAGGTCAGGATTTCAAGACCAGCCTGACCAACATGGCAAAACCCCGTCTCTATTAAAAATAAATAAATAAAGTAAAAAATAAAGCACTTGAGGCCCAGCGCGGTGCCTCACACCTATAATCCCAGTACTTTGGGAAGCCAAGGTGGGCAGATCACCTGAGGTCAGGAGTTTGAGACCAGCCTGGCCAACATGGTGAAACCCCATCTCTACTAAAAATACAAAAATTAGCTGGGCATGGTGGCAGGCACCTGTAATCCCAGCTACTTGGGAGGCTGAGGCAGGAGAATCACTTGAATCCAGGAGGCAGAGGTTTCAGCGAGCCAAGATCACGCCATTGCACTCCAGCCTGGGTAACAAGAGCAAAACTCTGTCTCAAGGGGGGAAACAAAAAAGAAAGAAAGAAAGAAAGAAAGAAAGCACTTGAGTGATTCCTCTAACTCTTGCTTTTATTTCAACACTGAGACACCCAGTAAATGAATGGAGTGGAAATTCACATAAAAGTGTTATCACTATGGTCTATAGGAACTCCTTGCTCCATTAATAAAGCAATCAAGGCAAAAATATTTTAGAACTATTGTTAAATTTTCCTAGCACAGGTGAATCCAAGGAACACATAATCTGGCAAAACAGTTGGCACTTACCTGATTAAGTCGATCTTGCAAAATAGTGACTATTTGATTTTTGGTATAAGGTGGGAAGTTCAACAGCTGTGGCTTACATTTTTCTCTAGCTTGAAGCCTAGGCAGAATTCTATCTGTGAGATCCAGAGTATTAGCAATGCCTAAGGAGGAGATCAACAACACTAACTGTTGGTCAAATCATCCTAAAGGGGAAACTAAATTCTCTGAAAGCTAAATAAATTTCCAGTTATAGAATCTAACATCCTAATTGTTGCTTCCCACTTGTGTCCTACCCCATCCCAATAGATAAGATTATCTGCTAGGTGAGATGTACAGTCATTTAACTTTCTTATTTTGATGAGGCACCAAGCTGGTTTAAGATAAAATCACTGATAAATAAGCTGAATATATATATACATATATTTTAAAAAAGAATACTTTAGAACCACTATGTAACATTTTTAACGATTGAGCACTAACCAATCAGCACCAAGTGAGAATTGCTTAGCCATGGCCATTCAAACAGTGTGTACAGTACATCCTGGCCTTTGCTGTCCAGTTGATCCATCTCGTCCAATACCAACACACTACATATAGAGAGAAACAGTTAGTATCCATATTCACCTTCTTAACCCTCCAATCTGTCTGATACAGGTTGACTTCAGGTCACCTTCCTAAAGCTGAGTCCTGTTTAAGGATCATAATCTATCCTATCTCTAGTTTCTGCTACAAGGATACCCCACATCATCTACAAGTAATCCAATTTAAAATTAGGCGTATCTTCCTTCTCTTCTTTCCCTTTAAGTTTATGTAACTATCCTTCATAGAGCAAATATACAAAATGTTCTTTTTATGGGCAACAGACCTTGCAGATTTTCACAGAGCAACATGAAGCAGAACAATACTTACATCATGGGGCCCTTCTCTGCAGTCATATGTTTTTCCAATTTCCTCATCATGTCCTTCCCAGCTGGCCTGGATACCTCTTCCTGACAAATCTCCTGAGCAATAGCTGGGAATACGGCCTGGGCACTCCTCAAGGACATGCAATTCAGCATGATAGTTTTAAAGCCTTTCAGTTCCTTCTAGAAATAAAAAATGCAAACATCAGAGTTATTTTGGCCTCAGAAAATAAAAGATCTGATAGAGCCTAAAACGTCTTTGAAGAGCTAACAGCATGTAAGGAAGCTCTACTTTCATTTGGAAAGATTTAAACAATGAAATTATAAATGTCTTATTTGAAGAGACCGTCAATCTTCTAATCTTCGTCTTTTTTTTTAAGATAGAGTCTCGCTCTGTCGCCCAGGCTGGAGTGCAGCAGCACAATCTCAGCTCGCTGTAACCTCTGCCTCCGGGTTCAAGCAATTCTCCTGCCTCAGCTTCCCAAGTGCTAGGGTTACAGGGATGCACCACATACCCAGCTAATTTTTGTATTTTTGGCAGAGAGGGGGTTTCGCCATGTTGGCCAGGCTTGTCTCAAACTCCTGACCTCACGTAATCCCCCCACCCCCCAAAGTGCTGGGATTACAGGTGTGAGAGCCACAGTGCCCAGCCCACTTTCTTAACTCTTAAAAATCAAGTGCCAGCTGGGCACAGTGGCTCACACCTGTAATCCCAGCACTTTGGGAGGCTGAAGCGGGTAGATTGCTTGAGCTCAGGAGTTCAGGACAAGTCTGGGCAGCATGGGGAAACCCTGTCTCTACAGATTTTAGCTGGGTGTGGTGATGCATGCCTGTAGTCCCAGCTACCCCGGAGGCTGAGGTGGGAGGATCACCTGAGCCCAGGAGGTAAAGGCTGCAGTGAGCCGTGATCAAGCCATTGCACTACAGCCTGGACAAAAGAGTGAGACCCTGTTTCAAAAACAAAACAAAACACCTCAGAGTCATTTTACCAACAGCATCACAATTCAGACTCTTAATGTACCTTGAGGTCTTGCAAAATTCGGCTTAAGCAGGCAGTTTTTCCAGTTCCAGGAGCACCGGAAAGGTAAAGGCTTCCAGCTTTTTTTTCACAGATGTGCTCCCTCAGGAAATTCTTGATGACATCCATCTCCCTTTCCCTGGCAGGCAGCCGATCCGGGACAGCTGTGTTCAGGACCAGCTTTGCTTGCTGGTAGCAAGTGCCTGTACCAGATATACAAGGTCAATTAGACACAACAGAAGGTGACTGAGAAGACCCACTGGGTGGTTTCATTTGGAATCATCAGCCTTGGTTACAATAGCTGCACTAGCAGTTGCCATGTTAAGAACAAACCTTCTTGCTTGAATAATCTCACACATGCAGATTCTTTCTCCAGTGGACATCTCTGCTCAGGATTTGTTGTGATCTCTTTACTTTTTCTAACTGAAGAAAGTGTTTTATTTTGGTGAACTTTGGCTTGTTCTCTTTTGCTAGGAGACTTAATTGTCAGCTGATTGTCAAATACCAATCTTCGTCCCTTAAGTGTATGTAAGCGAGCGGGACCATTCTCTTTCTTGCCTTGCTTTGGTGGAGAACAGGGAGGTAAATGGGGAGTGTTGCATAGGTTGTCATCACCTGAAACATAATAAAATCAAAATGTAGTCACTCATAGCATTGGATAGTAAAAGGATGTGCAAGACCTCCCAGAAAGAGGCAAATTTCTACCTTAGTCGGAACCACCAAAATAAAATGCCTTCTCACCTAGGAGCAAATATTGGCCACTAGATGGCATCACCACTCTTACTACAGCAGTCTCCTTATCCACCATTGCAGTTACCCCAGTCTGAAAATATTAAATGGAAAATTCCAGAAATAAATAATTGAAAAGTTTTAAATTGCATGCTGTTGAGTACCATGATGAAATCTCTCATCATCCTACCCAGGACATGAAACATCCCTTCAGCCAGCATATCCACACTGTATATGCTACCCACCCACTAGTCACTTAGTAGCTGACTTGGTTATCAGATTAAAAATATAGGACATGTAGGGTTCAGTACTATCCTCCATTGCAGGCAACCACTGGGTCTTGGAATGTCTCCCCTATGGATAAGTGGGGACTACTGCATTTAGTAGAAACCAAATGGGTTTTAGTGGGATGAAACCGTAAAACTGGTTTGAAACAGGTTTTGTCAACCTTGGCACCACTGATATATTGGACCAAGTAATTCTCCATTGTCAAGGAGCTGTCCTGGGCAATGCAGGATATTCAGCGGCATCTCTGGCCTCTACCACTAAGCCAGTGGCATCCCCCAGCTGTAACAACCAAAAATGTCTCCAGAAAATCACCCCTCATTTAAAAACAAACATTCCAAAACAAGAACCACTGTTCTAAAACAAGAAAAGGATGGAAAATATCCAGCGTGTCACCTTTTTGTTTCTTTTAATTTCACAAATATTGAGGTACGTTTCATAATACCTTGTAACTACGAGGTAACTTAAAACACTGACAGAACTAACTTCAGTATTAAGGAATTAAAGATTAAACCTATTAAGTAGTTCAGAGAGTGACCTCAGTAAGCGGCTTAACTCTGGAGTTTAGTAAGCAGTTAGCAACCATTCTGAAAATAACTAAAATGAAGAGTAGTCTTAGGCCAGGTGCGGTGACTCACGCCTGTAATCCCAGCACTTTGGGAGGCCAAGGCGGGCAGATCCCTTGAGGCCAGGAGTTCAAGACCAGCCTGGCCAACGTGGTGAAACCCCATCTCTACCAAAAATACAAAAAATAGCCAGGTGTGGTGGTGTGCACCTGTAGTCCACCTACTCAGGAGGCTGAGGCGAGAGGATGGCTTGAACCCGGGAACTGGAGGTTGTAGTGAGCTGAGATGGTGCCACTGCACGCCAGCCTCGGCAAAAGAGCGAGACTTTGTCCAAAAAAAAAAAAAGGCTGGGTATGATGGCTCAAGGCAGATGGATCACCTGAGGTTAGGAGTTCAGAGACCAGGCTGGCTAACATGGCAAAACCCTGTCTCTACTAAAAATACAAAAAAATAAAATAAAAATTAGCTGGGCATGGTGGTGGGTGCCTGTAACCCCTGCTACTTGGGAGGCTGAGGCAGAACAATTGCTTTAACTTAGGAGGCGGAGGTTGCAGTGAGCTGAGATCACGCCATTGCACTCCAGTCTGGGAGACAACACAAGACTCTCTCTTGAGGGAAAAAAAAAAGTCTTAACTGAACTTAGAAAGCGCCTTCAAAGGACACACATCTTATTGAGAAAAGAAAGGTCAAAAAGTGATATAACGGATGGCTTACCCAGACGTTTCCTGGGGCTGAGAGGCAGGACTTTTACACGAGAACGGGGTACAGTTTGGACATTTGTCAGTTCTAGTTTGGCATCACTAGAGTTTTTAGTTTTGTTCAATGCCCGAGACAGCTTCTTTTTTGGAAAACTGATTGTAGCCTGTGCCTGGGATCGGGTTTGAGGCATGATGGCAGCACAGCTATACAAAAAATAACAGGACAAGTCAATATGTAAAAGTGAAGGGAAAATAACTAACATGGAACTTATTTATACTGATGATTAACACTTATTTCCTAAGTAAATTATGTTACCACAATATTTTGGCATTCAGTTCTGCTTCACATCCAAATCTATGCAAGAACAGCTGACATTTCTTGTCTACCTACTAGGTGGAAGGCGCCGTTATAAGCACTTTATGTGCCACCTCGTTTTGTTTTACAACTGCCTTAGAGGTAGGTACTAGTATTAGCCTTTATTTTACAGATGCGAAAACTGAGATAAACAGTGGCCCAAAGTCACAGAAAAACAGGAATGTAACCCCAGGCATTCTGGCGCCAGAGCCCAAGTTTTTAACCAATTGATAAATGCAATAAGAAGATACCTGAAATGCGCCGGGCCCGGTGGCTCACGCCTGTGATCTCAGTACTTTGGGAGGCCGAGGCGGGCGGATCACGAGGTCAGGAGTTCGAGACCAGCCTGGCCAACATGATGAAACCCCATCTCTACTAAAATAATACAAAAAGTAGCTGGGTCTGGTGGCGGGTGCCTGTAATCACAGCTACTCGGGAGGCTGAGGCAGGAGAATCACTTGAACCCGGGAGGTGGAATTTGCAGTGAGCCGATATCGCGCCATTGCACTACAGCCTGGGCGACAAGAGAGACTCCGTCTCAAAAAAAAAGGGCAGGCGCGGTGGCTCAAGCCTGTAATCCCAGCACTTTGGGAGGCCGAGGCGGGTGGATCACGAGGTCAAGAGATCGAGACCATCCTGGTCAGCACGGTGAAACCCCGTCTCTACTAAAAATGCAAAAAAAATCAGCTGGGCATGGTGGCGCATGCCTGTAATCCCAGCTACTCAGGAGGCTGAGGCAGGAGAATTGCCTGAACCCAGGAGACGGAGGTTGCGGTGAGCCGAGATCGCGCCATTGCACTCCAGCCTGGGTAACAAGAGCGAAACTCCGTCTCAAAAAAAAAAAAAAAAAAGTTACTTGAACTGATTTGTATAGAACTTCTAATTCCCTTCCTCCAGGCATGACGGGTGTTTTATCACCAGTTCAGCCCCAGCAGCCGCCACATTTAATCTCATCTCTCCCAAGCCCTCACACTGCAGGTCAGTCTTCTCTCAGTCTCTCCGCCCCTGCACCCAGTCCTCATTCTAAGCAGCTCTCAACGCACCCCAGAACATTTCCTTCCTACAACTTTCAGCTCCTTCACACCACGCACAACTGCTGGAACTACCCCGAGGGCGCCTGCCCTTTTCCTGATCCCGACCTCAGACCTCCAGCGAGCTCAGCTCTTTTCCCCTCACTTCACCTCGGGCCTCGCCGGAACCCGCAGCCTTCACCCAACTCCGCTGCCTCACAGATCGCAGGCCTCCTCGAGCAATCCTCTCCTTTCCACCTCCTCAGTGCAGGCTCCTTCTCAGGTCTCACACGCAGCCTCTGGGACTCACCACCACAAGCTCCGAACAAACTGAACACCAGCAGCAGCAAAACCAGCCGCGCTCGCGCCAAATCTGAATTACCACAGGGTTCCAGCCTCCCGCCAAAGCCCGGTCTCGATTCTGATTGGCTGTGTTCACAGCGCTGTTCGCCTTGGTACCGCCTCTTTTTTGCTTCCAATCCTGCGGAAGAGTTACAGCCAATGAGAGAGCCCCAAGTCTTTGAGTCACAGTGAGGCCACGCCCACTGAGCCGCGTAGGGAGGGAAAGAGAATCTACATCCGGGGCCTCAGTGGAAAGACGCGCGATTGCTGCAGGGCGACTCTGGGTAAGACAGGACGGCCCCGCCGCAAAGCACGGCGGGAGGCGTAGTCTTTACTGTCGCGCGACTCTACTTCCGCGTTCTTCCTTCGACTGGAAGTGTCAAGATGTGGCTCCCCTTCTCACTGCCGAACGTACTCATTTGCATCGTCCTGATGGATGATAGCTACCGTTTGGGGAGCGGTTCTGTGCGCCAGGTATGATGCTAGGCACTTTAGTTACCTAAACCCCGGAAGGCACAAAGCAAACCTGCATACAAGGTTAGAGGTCACAGCATCTTGGTGACAGTGAAGAGCCTAGGATCTAGATCTCCTGATACCTGAACTAGTGGTTTTTTTGGTAAAGTTCTACACAGCTGTATAAAGAAAAACTATGCTTCATCATAGTATCTCTTGATTTGTACTTCAAAGGTGAGAAACAGAGCCAACTCTTTGCTTTTATTTCGTTCAAAGTTAGATTATGTTCTATGCACCTTCTTACCATTAATCCACACCTCGTGGGGAGAGAATTATGACCCCTTAATTTTAAAATCTTTTATGGCGAAACACTAGGGTTTCAGAGCCAGGGAAAACGGCTATATAGAAGAGGCAAGCTGAGTTTTTAATGAAAAATATAAATTAGAGCAGTAATTTGGAGGCCAGCTTCCAAAGCCAGTAACTCATCTAACCCTCAGGTTCCTTTAAAGGCCAGAACCCAATTGTAGGTCATGGTAAACATTTCTCTTTTACCTCTCAGTAACAAATAAAACAGAGCCATAAAGCCTAGAAAGAGGAAAGCAACAATATTACGATCATCAGTTAATTGGTACCTAGTTCATGAAGAGAGCCAGTATTGAGGGCTTTAAGTGTATGCCAGAGAATGTGCTCAGTATTTTACCTACATTGCCTTCTTAATTTTCACAGGCACCCCCATGAAGTTGAGTTGGTGTTATTTTGTGTGTGTGTGTGTGAGAGAGAGAGAGGAGAGAGAGAGAGAAAAGGGGGGGGGGGGAAGAGAGAGAAAGAGAGAGAGAGGCTCTCGCTCTGTCACCCAAGCTGGAGTGCAAGGGCTTGATCTCTGCTCAGCTCACTACAACCTCCGCCTCCCGGGTTTAAGCGATTTTCTGCCTCAGCCCCCCAAGTAGCTGGGATTACAGGTGCACACCACCATGACTGGCTAATTCTTTTTGCATTTCTAGTAGAGACGGCGTTTCACCATCTTGACCAGGCTGGTCTTGAACTCCTGACCTCGTGATCCATCCGCCTTGGTCTCTCAAAGTGCTGGGATTACAGGCATGAGCCACCGTGCCCGGTCGAAGTTGGTGTTATTTCATTTAACAAATGAAGGAACCACAGTAGAGGAGAGTTGAGTAAACTTGCCCAAGGTCACACAACTAGTAAGTGGAAGAGCTAGAATTTGAACTCTGAACTCTGACAGAAAATCAAACTCTTGGCCCTTTATCATAGGGGGATGATTAGATAAAGGGCTCTAAACAGGAAGAGATGGTGGAGTATATTTTGTGAAGGCTCTTTAGCAGCTGAAAACGCCAAAAGTGAAGAGAATGGGTTGCCATGAATGGAGAGTTACAATGGAAGCCTATTTTTTTTTGGTTTTGTTTTGTTCTTGAGACGTAGTCTCCACTCTGTCGCCCAGGCTGGAGTGCAGTGGCACAATCTCAGCTCACTGCAACCTCCACCTCCTGGACTCAAACCTCCTGAGTAGCTGGGACTACAGGCATGCACCACCACACCTGGCTAATTTTTGTATTTTCAGTAGAGACGGGGTTTCACCATGTTGGCCAGTCTAGTCTCGAACTCCTGACCTCATGATCTGCCCCCCACCCCCACCCCAGCCTCCCACAGTGCTGAGATTACAGGCATGAGCCACTGTACTTGGCCAAAATGGAAGCTTTTAAAAGGACTAGATGGTATTTCTGATCTCTTAATAGGACAGCAGAACTTAGGAAGCAACCATCACTGTTCATATTTTTATAACATGAGCATCTAAGAATTGCCCTTAATAACCTGAAAGGGTAAAGTATGTCCAGCCAGCTTTAAGGAATGGTTATAGTAAACAACCTACCTCAGTTACAAGGAGACAGCAGAGGAAGCTATGAGTACTTAGCATGCATATTAGAGCCTATGAAAACACCAGGAAATATAGCAGTAGCCCAAGAAAAGCCCACAGAAGTAAATGACCACTGTGGAAACAGGCAAATAATCACAGAATGTCAGGACTGAAAGGTTATCTACTTGAACCTTTTCCTTTGCACTAATAATGATCCTCCAGTAACATGATACATACACATCATATTGTTTCTTGCTTCTGTGCCTTTGTTTTTGCTGTTTCCTCTGGAATGCCACTCCCCATCCGTCTTCCCTGCTAACTTCTATAAAGCCTGTTAATACCCTGTATAGGTTTCTCCTGGTAGCTGTCCTGAAGTCCACTAACTATTGAGTTCCCTGGAATCAAAGACCATGTCTTAGCCATGTGAAGTGACATGCATCTGTAATTCCAGTTACTCAGGAGGCTGAGGTGGAAGGATCCCTTGAACCCAGTTTGAGGCCAGCCTTGGACAACATATCAAGACCCCATCTCCAAAAGGAAAAAAAAAATTTTTTTATACGGAGTCTTGCTCTGTTGCCCAGGCTGCAGTGCAGTGGCACACTATCAGGCCACTGCAACCTCCACCTCCCAGATTCAAGCAACCCTCCTGCCTTAGCCTTCCGAGTAGCTGGGATTACAGGCGCCTGCCACCACACCTAATTTTCATATTTTTAGTAGAGATGGGGTTTCACCATATTGGTCAGACTGGTCTCAAACTCCTAACCTCAGGTGATCCACCTGCCTCAGCCTCCCAAAGTGCTGGGATTATAGGCATGAGCCACTCTGCCTGGCAAAAAAAAAAGACTTTTCATTTTCATATTGTAGGTGCCTGGTACAAAGTGTCCAATAAGTGCTTGCTAAATGAAGGAATGGAAATGACATTCTTGCCAAGTGGACATCCACCCTTTGCATAAACACTTGTGGCTAGAGAGCATACAGTCCTTTAAGTCTCACACCCCTAAGCCTAGGAGTAAAGAATGAAGTCAATTATGTGTGAAAATGATCCAGACTGCGCTCCAGTGATGTCAGAGGCAAAGTATTTCCCCAGTTATCCTCTGAGGCAGTCAGAATCCTGAGGTTGACATATTTCTAGTTCTAGTTCATTTTTCACAGTTCCTTTACCTCCCTCTGCAGAGTACTAGGAAGGTGGAGACAGGCAGCTTCCTTCCAGTGAGTTGCTCAGTTCATGGTTAGATTGGGTTGGGAAATACTTAAGAGGCATATTCATAGGAAGCAGCTCTGCCTTGGTAATGGAGGGAGGAAACTAGTATGATACTGCTAACTCATACACAGTATCATGGAGAAGGAATCAAATCACACTGGAAGAACCTGTCTGGCATCCTTTTGTGTGAGTGTGTGTGTGTAGACACACACATACTCTAGCAATACCATCCCAATAAGACAGAATGAATTATAGGGTTAGGAAGTTGAAGGTCATTTAGGCAAGCTCCATTTGCAGGCTATTTCAAGTCAGGAGGAACAATTCAATCAATAAATAGGTAATTTATTAATCATATTAATAACAATGATGGGTCAAATAATCAGGGATTCAGCCAATCTGGGAAGTACGGATAAAAATGAAAGGAGTCCTTTATTTCCCCCCTCCCTCATCCTCATAAGTTTTTATATCTAAATTATGTGAGAGTGATTCATACACACACCCATTATGACCTTTGCTAGTGATGAAAGTGCAAGTTAAGCTCATTAAGCCTTAGTGGTTATGATGTCAGCTGACCAGAGTAAAGAGAGAATGTCTGGTCGAATTTTTATACCTAAAGTCAAAGTTCAAGAAAACCAGCCAAGATTCAACTTAAAAAGCAATAAGGAAAAACAGTCAACACCCACATGAAAACCAATACATACATTCTGTATGCTTTGTCCTCACCCTTCCTTCCTTTACTCAGTTTGAGAATCTGCCATGCAACACAGGTAGAAAGAATTCTAAGAGCTTCAAGGAAAAGGTCACAAGGCCAGGAAGCCTCCTTGTTTCCCTGAAATCATGGGCAAAGGGGAGTTAAGTGGAAATACAAAATAAGGACTGGCCCATGCAATAGCACATGCCTGTAATCCCAGCACTTTGAGAAGCCGAGGTGGGACAATCACTTGAACCCAGGAGTTTGAGACCAGTCTCAGCAACATAGGGAGACCCCATCTTTACAAAAAAATTTTCAAAATTAGCCAGGCATAGTGGTACACACCTGTGGTCCCAGCTACGTGGGAGACAGGTGGGAGGATCACTTGAGCTTGGGAGTTGGAGACTGCAGTGAGCTGTGATCACACCACTGCACTCCCGCCTGAGCAACAGAACAAGATCCTGTCTCTAATAAAAATAAAAATAAATTAATAAAATAAGGACCATCAGAATATCCTGGTCAGCAAAAGTAACTAGGACTGTAATTTTCTTTTTTTTTTTTGGAGTGCAGTGGCATGATCTCAGTTCACTGCAACCTCCGCCTCCTGGGTTCAAGCGATTCTACCACCTCAGCTTTCTGGGTAGCACAACGCCGGCTAATTTTTATATTTTTAGTAGAGATGGAGATTCACCATGTTGGCCAGGCTCGTCTCAAACTCCTGACCTCAAGTGATCCACCTGCCTTGGCCTCCCAAAGTGCTGGGATTACAGGGGTCAGCCATCAAGCATGGCCAATTAGAACTGTAATTTTCAAAAT